GTGAAGTTCAGAAGATGAAGGCAGGGGGTTACAGCAGTTCTTGAATCAATGCCAGCTGAGCCAGAGGCACATAAATATTTCATCCAGGTCAAGCAAACATCAGGGAGGTGACTTATCACAGGTTTCAGCCAGTGATGGCTAAAGAAGGTGGAAAGAATCCTTCCAGACTTTGCCTTCTAAGGTTTACTAAATTATCAACGTTGCTATGCTAAAGGAACAAGAAGTGCAGTAGGTTGTCTCTGTCCTCTTCCTCCACATGGTCTCACAGTTTTGAGGACAAAGTAACAGACTCTGTCAACTGGAAGATCTTCCAACTAATCTCAGCTAGTCTGGCATCAATCCACATATCTTGGAGTAAAAAGACATCTCAAGAATCATATTGTTCTGAGCATCTCAAGTCTTATTCTCTGCAGCAGAGAACAAACTCAACATGAATAACAAGACAGGTAGCTGGATCTCAGTGCACTAAAAGCTTTGGAGAATTAAAGCCAAGTCATTGTATGTGGATCAAAGAAAAGGAAAAAATCAAGGGACCTTGTGGAGCTTTAGTGTAAGATGAAGACAAATTTCCCTTGAATTCCTTAGAATGTATGGGGTTTTAGCTCAGAAATTGCCCCCAAAATCTTTAATAACAAATATGATTTCATTCTTTTAGCCAGTACTTACATACACACACTAACAAAAATCTTGTTATGGTACTGGATAGGAAATTATCCTTTCCACTTATGAAAACTGTAGTAACCTAGCCAGACCAAATACTTTTTCATCTGATAATTGAAAGGTATGGAGAATAAAGTCATTTGCCCATACCACAGTATGCTCATTCACTTCTTGACACCTTTTTCAACCCCCATGGATGAAAAGTGCCATGAAGCTAAAGGACAAATTTCAGATCTTACTAGTCATCTGACCCAAAAGGGACAGAATCCCCATCCTGGTGGCACTACCTGAAGCCACTCAGCCCTCTCACCTCTGTGTCTCCCAGTATTTCTGAAATATTGTTTTTCAGTTTTCTCAGGTGGTCCTTCTTACTCCATCCACTCTACTGATGATTCCCTTTATTCCTTCTCTCCCATTAGGCATGCACCTCCAAACCTGCCTGCCTACGTCCTTCTTCTGCCTCTCTGGATTTATAGCTTCACTTGCACAATCTGGAGCAAAGAGCAGTGAGAGGAGCAATTGCAATGCCTTTTCTGTGACAGAACGGACCGCCCAGCTGCCCAGCACAGTCTCTGCAATGCTGCATTCACCAACAGGTTGCACAAGATTGCAGCTGCTTTTTCCACCTGTTTTTCTTCTGAGAATTAGCATCTTAAACCATAAACATGCAGGAAATTTATGTGAGTAGCACAAAACATGTTTGCAAAATCAAATGTTTCATCCTGCTCGTGCTGGAAAAGATATGTGAAGGAAGACTCCCTGATGGTTCAAGTGCGTGCTTTTAAACCTGATACAGATGTGTCCAAACTGTTGGGACCTTAGTTGGGATACTGAGATACCCAAATTGCCTGTGAATAAGAAGCAGGGTAAGCTCCAAGCTTCTAGACAGCACAAGAAATATCAAACAGTCAAACCCAAGGGTAAGGAGTTGGGGCTGGTCCAGCTCTATCCTGGGAAGGGGAGTAAAAGGTGTGGAGCTAGGCATTCTGGCAGGGCTTGGGCTTGTAGTTCAGGCACCCATGGAGAGAGTGAGATGGTGACTGCTGCTGCTTGAGTAATAACCTTCTTCTTGGCAATGCTACCCCACATGTCTGACTCCACCCTGCAATACAGGAACAGCCCTCACTTTCCAGGGCTCTGGCACAGGCAAAGCGGGCAACAGAGCCACAACTATGTTGCTGTTCCCAAAAATCTGCTGCCAGAGGCAAGTGCCTGCTGTGTTTTTGCCTGGAGAAAGCCCTTGAGGAAACTGTAACTCATGCAGTAAATCCAAGATACTGTGGCTAGGAAGGAGTCTTCTAGTGCCCGCAGCAGCACACTTGGAGCTGTTTGAGGAATCTCCATCGCCCGGCACACGACACTGCTGTTGTAACAGCTGTTCCTTGTTCAGTGGTGGACACTGCCAGTACTTCACTGGAGCCCTGGAGCAGTACCTACAGAGTCAGTATATTTACAGCTCTCAGGAACTTGCAGTTCTGTCCAAGTGGAAAAATCATGTTATTCTATGTTTTACACAGTATCAGTGCTAAAAGACATTAGTACCTTTCCATCCATTTTACAGCTACATCCAGTCTTTACTATTTTCTATATAACCTTATACTGATTATTTTCTTTACTGAGTTATCCAGTACAAAAAGACAGAATACAGACCAAAATAAGAATACTCCAATAAGGTTTTGTTTTATGAGTAAAGAAGGTTGGTCCATGTTTTGCAGGAGGGGATTTGAGAAAGAAAGTTACATCGTGTGCAGGTTAAGGAAGGGCTTTTACAAAGGGCAGGATGGGAAATGAGGCACTGGAGAGAGATAATGGCAAATGAGAAATGGAATTAGCAGAGCTCAGGTGGTGCAGAGGAGTGACAGGTGATGAGTCACCCTGGCAGGAGGAGCAGAGCCATGCAAAGAGGACACCAGCTTTAAAAGCCATGCAGAAGAAGACTTGGGCTCAGGGATTTGGGCTCTGAAAATGTGTGTGGAGAGAGTGGAAAGGACAGGTGGAAAGGACAGGAGCACTGCTCCTGAGGAGATCCCTCATTCCAAAGGTTCCAAGCAGATCACAGGTAACACCAGCATATATTCAGCTCTTGTAAAAAAACATGTATGTGTGCATGCCACATGATCAGAAATACAACTGCATGCAAAAAAAATTGTTGCCTGCTATATAATCTATACTTTATCAAACTCCAGTTATATATATATATATGTATAAACACACACATGTGACCTCTGTTAGCTAGAGTTTCTTCCAATATGGCACAGTTAAAACTGCCACCACACAAACAGGAATGCGTATAATTTTAAATAATTTTACAAATAATTTATGCCCATTTAACTGGAAGTTTCAATCAAAGTAAGTTTTTAGGAACTGACTGCCTAACCTAGGCAGCAGCTCTGCTGTTTGGGATCACTCCAGTAGCAGTACTGGTGTTTTAATGTACCCTGCCAATGAAGACAGACTGGAGATAGCACAGCAGGCTGTGCACCAGAGTGGCAGGAGTCCCACCTTGTCCTGCCACCCCTTTTTTGGTAGCAGAAACTCTGAGTAGAGGCATGAGAAACCAGAGGTTTCAACACCTGAAAGAGATGCAGTGAGACCCAGCAGAATTTGGTTGTGCCTCAGTAAGTTACACACCACACCTCTGCCGACCCAATCCCCTACCCCTCACAACTGCCCAGGTACACATTTGCAGTGTGATGTCTTCAGTTAAAAATAAACAGCATTGTGGACATAAAATCTGAAAACACGCCCAGTTAGAATGTGTGATTGGCACTTTATGAATATTTACAGTGATTTTAATTAACAGCATCTCTTCTGCCACTCATCTGTCGAGAAGTCTCCTGTAGAAGAAGCCTGACAAGCAGTGGGGAAGCCGCCGGTATTTGAAGACAGTCCGAAGCAGGAAACAGAGATATTTTGGGGCATTACATTGTATCTCCCTATTGCACCACAGCCCACACGCACGCATGCTTGGATAAAACTGCGCTGCGGAGCTGTAATTGTATTGTGGCTTTTTGATGTCTACTCAAAGAACATTAGCTTTGCTGTCATGTTTTACAATGTAAAAAATTTTGGTGAAAATGTCAGCAGGATGGTATCTTTAATCATATTTATTGATTGACCTCAAAAGGCACAGTGCAATTTAACTGGAGCCCCTCAATGCAGCCAGGGTCAGGTTCAGACAGTACCTGTTCCTAGCACTGCCTGGAGCCCCAGTTTCATGAGTAGCTTTTATGTCTAGTGTCCTTGAAGCTACTTGACTTCCCTTCTTTCAGCCCTTCCTTATTACGGCTAACGCAACATGCTACATAGCTAGAGATGCTTACTTCTAGGGAATATGAGGGTTTAATAGGTAACCTCTGGAGCAGGAAATGCATCTGCTCATCAGTGCCAGCTGCAGTCTGGTGTTCTCTGACCAGTCCAAGAAATGATGGGACCTCCGCACAGCCCGGCGCGGGAAGGCACAGTCTGATCCCCAAGCCCGTTGCAGCTGTGCTGTCCAGCCGTCCCAGAGGGACGACGTTGATTCCAAGTCTTTGCCCGCAGCCGGCGTTTGTCTCCTGTGCCCAAATGCCGGGTCAGCTGCACTCGTAGCAGCGCAGGACGGGGCTGAAGTTGGCCCACGCCCCGCTTGGCCACTGTCCATCCTCGGGGACTGGCGAGAAGGACCCCGGGGAAGGGCCGGCTGCGGGGGCACTTCAGGAGGGACCTGTCCCGGGGCGGCCCGGCGGTCACACACAAACTCCTCGGCTACCCCTCACGGCCCCGGGCAGGGCAGCGATCGGGGCACCCCCTCCGCGGGCAGCCCGGGCCGGCGGAATGGCGGCCCCGAGGCGGCTGCGCTCCCGCGGGGCGCGGGGCTGGGGGCGAGCGGGGCGCGGGGAGTGTGAAGGGCGGGTTCGGCGGGGGTGCTTCGTGTGTGCCTGTGCCTGCGGGTGAGCTCTGTCACGGCGAGCCCGTGTGCCGGAGAGGCACAACTTGGCGGGTGCGGAGCGGTGAGCCCGGCGAGGCGCGGCGTGCGGGTGCGGAGAGGTGCATGGTGCGAGCGTGCGTGTGGGTGTGAGTGTGAGCGTGTGTGTAACTCACCGAGGGCGTGCGCTCGTCCGTGTGTGCTTGAGCCTGTGCGTGTATCTGTATCTGTATCTGCATCTGTACCGGTGTGGATGTGCGTGTGTGCGAGCGGTGCCAAGTGTGCGAGCGTGTGCGAGTGTGTGGATGCGCGCTTGTGCGTGTGCGATCGTGTGTGAGCGATCTCGAGTGTGTGTGAGCGACCTCGCGTGTGTGCGATCGTGTGTGTGACGGCTCCCGCCTGACTGACGCCGGCCGGGGCTGCTGCTGCCGCTGCCGCTGCCGCTGCGCCCTGGCCCCGCCGCCGCCGCCGCGCAGCTGCAGCCCCGCTCCCGCCCGCGGCGCGCCGAGACCCCAGCCCGCGCCCGTGGCAGGTAAGAGCCGGGGCTCCCGGCCGCGTCCCGGGAAGGGCGGAGGGGGGAAGCAGAGGGGACGGGAGACAGTGCCGTCGCTCCAAACTTCGCGCCGGGGCTGTCCCGCATCCTTCCCCGAGCGGTGCCGGGCGGCGGGCCGGTGGCGGGCGCGGCATCCCCCCGTGCGCCCGGCGGAGCAGCCGCGGCGGCGCCCCGGGCCGGTGTCCCCCCGGCTGGCGGCCCCGGCCCCGCTGCGCCGGGGCGGTGTGCGGGCGGGGGCTGGGGCCGCAGAGCAGCGAGATGAGACAGACCGACGCCAGGACGGCGAGCGAAAGGAGGAGCGCGGGGAAAAACATTTTTATGGATGGCTAAACGTTGACAAGTCTTCCCGCTGTCAGGATTTCTTTCTTTCTCGTTTAAGTAGGAGAAAAGAAAAGAAAAGAAACAACAGAGCCCCACATGACACGTTTGGAAATACTTTTCCTTTCAGAGGTTATTTTCTGTTCAAGAAATCCCGCTCCTGGACACGCTCCCGGGCAAAACGGAGCAGAATTGCTGGGATTCGGGTTTTTTATTCCAGCTACGAACTGTGACTCTGATTGGCCTCTTGTCTTTTGGCTCCGAAGTTAAAACGTTACACGTTTGTTGGTTAGCAAGTAACCAACATTTCCAAAAACAATAGCCCTCGATATGGCAAATTACAAATCACTGTAATTTTATCTCCGTGCCCAGGCAGCTCTAAGTGGGGAGACATTCGGAGTTCGGCTAATTGGTAACAATTGTTTGGTAACTTTGTGTTTTCCTAGTTTGATTTTATGGGTAAATTTATTTCATGCTAGCCAGGTCTGCTTTTAAAGAGGCATTAGTGGGAATAAAAATAAATGACACACACATGGACACGTGTGGACACACAGCACAGACACGCACGCCCGCTGTTAATTACTTGCATCTTATAAACTAGTGAAAGAAATATTTCAGCCTAGAATGGTCAACGATTTAGTGAAGGAGCTCTCCCTTGGCAGAAGAGGGAAATTATGTGCACGGCTTGGGAATGTATTCAAGTTTGCAGTGGTTTGGGAAGGGCATTGCAGATAACGCAAGTTTCAGTACTCCAGCATCTCTGACGTGTGGAAATGTGCCCCTCTATACGTGCAAGTATTTGTGTGGTAGGACTAATCTTCCCATCTTCGGGAGCATAAGATGAAGAAAGTGATACAAAATTCTTCTCCTCAGCAACAGTAGGACAAATGTCATCACTCAAACAAACCTCATCCGTTTTAATCCAGCCAGACAACTCCCTTCTTTCAGATTTGATAAGTACCAGTGTCTGGCTGGTTCATCTTTGCTTCTTGTTAGATTTTAAAGCAGACACTGGGGATGTTTGTGGTTTGTTTTTTGGTTTTTTAAATCCTGAGTTAATTTGACTTAGTAGCTAAAATAAACATGCCCAAAAATACATTTAAAGTCAGTTGTATCAAGAACGGTATCTTGTATTTACTGGGTTTAGCAGTAGTTCCCATTCCCGTTTGTCCTTTGTGATGGAATTAGAAACATTTTCTTCTTCACTTTATTACCTCGCACATAAGCTGATAAACAGTAATTCTGCAAAAGTGCCTGGAATAAGGGTCAAGTGTATTTTATCACAAATCCTTATCATATCCATATAATATATGCAAACCAGGAGATTTCCTGATGGATGCATTGAATCTGTGTCAGATTTGTAAACTGATACGAGGTGGAGAGAGCTTTTATTTACCTGCAGCAACTGAAACGAATATGCACAAAGCTGTCAACTGCACAACTTTGTGAAGAAGTTGGGAATTAGTATTTCACTAAAGAGTCATGCACACACATGCTAAGTACCTGCAGAAGGTGGGGATGTGGTGTAGAGGAACTCGGTAGCACCTCGGGTTTGAAAGCTACTCTCACAAAAATGGGCAGTAGTGCTCCATCTTCGCTTCAGTGGGTACAAGACGAGGCCCAGCTCACTAAAAGAGGAGTGTGGAAGTGTCAGTATAATGTATCATATAACATCTGTGCAGTTAATTCTCCTTTCTCTCCTTTTATTCTTTTACAGGCTTTCTGCGTCTCGTGTTTGAATTCTTAGCTATCTGCTGTTATCAGACGGGGAGATAGTGTGTCATGCAATTCTCTCTCCTGAGTGCTAAAGTGCTGTAATTTTGATGGCCAGGCTAATCTGTCGCTATAAAGTTTTATTTTTCCATTGTTAAATTCAAAGGACAATGACTACTAATTACAAGTGACCTTTAACCAAAACACTAGCTAGAGTTTATCACCAGGGCTGATACTGACTAACAGTAATTCCAGCATCAGCAGTACTGGGCACCCTGTTTCAAAGAAACTTAAAAGAGTAAGGGGAAACAAATATATATATATATATATGTGTGTGTATATATATATACATGCTCTGTAATTTGTCTGCTGCAAAAAATACAGTGATAGCCTAGAGAGATTCCATTTTCTGTGCAATATATACCCTTTACAAATAATAATTACAGGGCTGGGGAAGGAAAAAAAAAACCCCAAATAATGCATCATAAATATTTTAACTGAAAACAACACAGCAAAAATATACGTAGTAAAGGTTGTTCTGTTTAACTGCCTGGTTTCCTGATACAGGTGGGTATAAAGAACCATTAGTGTTACTGTGCATGAGCAGCAAGGGATAGTAATAACAACAACAATTTGAGGTAATCATCACGGTCCTATTACTGTCTTGGAGAACAGTTGTGAGAAGCACTAGACTTTGCAACAAAATTAATTTTTCAAAAATATCCCAAATTATTTCCCATCTTATATTTTGTCTGCAGTGTTTGAATGGTTAATGCTGTGGGAATTTTACAGGTGGAAAGGTGACTTAAAGAGACTTGGGCCCTGTGTATTTATTACAGCTGCTAAAAATCTGGCTTTTGCAGATGAGTGGATTTAATAGATTGCAGGATCAGAGCCCAGACAGAGATCCTGACTAATACATGTTTGCATTTTAATTAAAGCAGGTGAAATAGCAGGTGGATTGTTCTACAGGACCATTTGCAGGTTTCTGCACCTTAGACAGGTGTAAGGTTGAGCAGTTCTCTTTGAGGTTCATTTCCTCCAAACAAGGGCACAGCAAGGACATGGTGGCGGTGGACATGGAGTGAAGGAGACTTCCCAATTTATGCAGCCACTTCTGCTTTAAAAACCAAGAAAAAAACGGAAGAAGAAAATCTGATAATTGATCTCTGTTTTTCTGAGACAGCATTAAGATCGAAGTGTGTTTCTGATTGGGAGAAGCAAAGTATTATCTTTCACATCTTTCTATCCAGAACTTGTTTCCTTCCCACTCTGTTTTCCTTGTCAGTAGCATCACCATCCTCCCTCTGCCAAACTTAGCATCATCTTTGCCTCTTCTGATTCCTCACAGGTGGTGATACTTCCAGATATCTCTTGACAGTTTTTCTTCGTGTTACTTCTTACATTCCTCCTTCCTTTTGTTTGCAGCTGCCAAAGCGTTAGTCCACACTGTGGCAACCTTCCAGCTTGATACTGCAACCTCCCATTTCCCAACAAGCTCTCTTCTCCCACCTACATTCTGCTCCCAGGTGCAAAATCCTGCATCTTTTCCTTTTCTTCCTGAAACATCTCCCATTCTGGAGTCTCTCTATGTGCCTGGCCTTTGTATAGGTTTTGAAAATATTCCCCACATCTTGAGTTCCCCACAACTGTTGGTCTCAAGCTCACTGTCCATTAAAAGAGAGAAATGAGGAGGAAAAGAAATTAACAGACCCGTGGGTCATTAGATTTTGTTCTTCTTCAGGCTTCCTTTCACCCTCATTACCTGGCTACAATGGAAGCCAGATTGGCCACTTCTTGATAACGCTGGTTCTGTGTTTGCTCGGCCTGGTGGTGTGCTGGGTCACGCAGCCATGCTGTGCAGAACAGCAGGCAGGAGCTGGCGATGGAGGTGCCCTTTCCAGAAGGCCTTGTCTGCAAGCAGCAAAGCTCCACCTAATGAAGAATCCTTTATAATGTGAATAACCCTTCAGTTGAGGTCAATACATTTCAACAATGCCTAATCTTTTTTTATGTGTGTTTTCTTGCTTGCCTTCCCTTAAGAAAAAAAAACCACAAAACCAAACCAAAAAAAAAAAAACCTTTTTTTTTTTTTTTCTTTTAAGCATTCCTTTGCAGCATTCCTCATCAGACTCTGCTTTACAAAGCCATCCCTGTCAGGGTACCTGTGGGACAGATGCAGAAATCAAGGCACCTGAGGGAAGACTGTTTACCCTGAGGGCTGCGGCAGGAAGCGATCCCACACACTGCCCAGTAGGCACAAAACTGACCGGAGGCACAAGCAGTTCATGTGGCTTTTCAAAACTCTCTTATGGTTACTTGCTGGTCTTGCCTATCCAAACCTACTTGTCTCTGTCAAATTACTCTGGCCCTGCTGCCAAGGTGCAGTTTCTCACCCTGCAGCGTATGTGAGGTAGCTGATTTGTCTCTCTCTCATCATCAGATCTTGGATTACTTCACACAGGGCATGAAACCTTCACAGAGACATCTAGAGTAGAGAAACCAAAATCCATTGCTGTGGGAGGCTGCAGCCTGTGGCTCCCATGTCTGTCCTGCTGCATGGTCCTACAGAACCACCTCAGGCTTCTTGGTGGTGGCCTCCTTGGGAGCCTTGGGCTGTAGGGGCTGCATGGACCAGAGCTGAGTGTTAGGAGGGGAGAGGAAGGGCAGCAACAGCCATGAAGAGATGGAGTATTCCTTGGAATCCTGAGATGGATTTGAAGAAGAGTAAAATATTTCTTCTAAAGACTCAGGCCCTGATTTGTGCCTTCTGCTCAGTGTTTTCTGAAGCTGGTAGTTAACATGACATGCCATCTTCCATGCTAAAGAGAATCCAGCCTTTGGTTTTTTTTTGTTCCCAGGGCTCAAATGTAGGCATATGAAACCTGTTTAATCCCCTAAGAAGGTGTTCTGGTTTACAGAGAATCTGAGCACCCACATCTTCAGCT